GGGGGTCCTGGGGGTCCCGCTGGGCGCGGGGGCTCTGGGGGCGCTGCTGGCGCTGCAGCGGCGGCTCCGGCCGCACCTCTGGGCCGATCTGGGGTTCGCGCTGCGGGCGCTGCGGGCGCGGCGGAGGGCGCGGGGCGGCCCCGGGGGCTCCGTGGTCTCCCGGTTCCTCCGCGCGGCCCGGGCGGCCCCGGCTCGGCCGTTCCTGCGGGGCCGGGGGGGCGCGGAGCCGCTGGGGCGGGCGGCGCGGAGCGTGGCCAGGGTGGCGAACGCGCTGCGGGCGCTGCGGGCCCCGCCGAGGCCCGGGGACACCGTGGGGCTGTTGGTGGGCAACGAGCCCCGCTTCGTGTGGGGCTGGTTCGGGCTGGCGGCGCTCGGGGCCCGCCCGGCCTTCCTGGGCACGGCGCTGCGCCCCGCGGGGCTCCGGCACTGCCTGCGCTGCTGCGGGGCGCGGGCGCTGCTGGTGGCGGACGGTGAGAGCGGGGGGACACCGGGAGGGGAGCGGGGAACGCGGGGGAGAAGGGCCGAGAAGGACCGGGGAGCTTTCGGGACCCGGGGGACACCGGGGGGACCGAGGAATGCAGGCACGGGAGGAACCGGGGGATAATGGGGACCGCGGAGTGGGGAGATCCCGAGGTGGGACCGGGGGATACCGGGCCGGGGCGTGAGAGGACCGGGAGCCGGAGTGGGAGCAGGGGAATAGCGGTGGCACCGGGGCCGGGATGGTGGCACCGGGGCCGGGATGGTGGTACCGGGACCGGGATGGTGGTACCGGGGCCGGGATGGTGGTACCGGGACCAGCAGGGTGGTCCCCACACGGTGCCGTCCCCCCAGAGCTGTTCGCGTCGGTGGAGCCGCTCCTGCCCAGCCTGCGGGAGGAGGGGGTGGCCGTGTGGGTGCTGGGAGCGGGGCCGTACCCGGCCGGGGTCGTGGCGCTGCAGGAGCTGCTGGACGCGGCCTCCGAGGAGCTGGAGCCCGAGGACGTGTGGGAGCCCGAGGACATGAGCGACACCTGCCTCTACATCTTCACCTCGGGCACCACCGGTGGGGCCGGGCCCGGGGCCCGGGGGGCTCTGGGTGTGCGTGGGGGCGCTCAGCTCTGTTCTCCCCTTCCAGGCCTCCCCAAAGCCGCCCGGGTGTCCCACCTCAAGTCCATCATGTGCCTGAGCTTCTACGAGCTGGTGGGAGGCTCCAGCCGGGACGTTGTGTACCTGGCGCTGCCCCTCTACCACATGGCCGGCTCCCTCCTGGGCGTCGTCGGCTGCCTCGGCATCGGTGAGCGGGGACGGGGCCCCGGGGGGGTCCCGGGGATGTTTCGGGGGCTGAGCCCCCACCCCTCTCCATCCCGCAGGGGCCACGTGTGTGCTGAAGGAGAAGTTCTCGGCCAGCCAGTTCTGGGACGATTGCCGCGCCGAGGGCGTCACGGTGTTCCAGTACATCGGGGAGCTGTGCCGGTACCTGGTGAACCAGCCCCAGGTCAGGGCGGGGGGCCGGGCAAGGCCGGGGGGGGTCCCGGGGAGCACCCCCGGAGCTGACGGTGGCCCCGCAGCGCCCCGGGGAGCGGCAGCACGGGCTGAGGCTGGCGGTGGGCAGCGGCCTCCGGCCCGACGTGTGGCGGAGCTTCCAGCAGCGCTTCGGGCCCGTGCGCATCGTGGAGACGTACGGGATGAGCGAGGGGAACGTCACCCTCTTCAACTACACCGGGACCCCGGGGGCCGTGGGGCGCTGCAGCTTCATCTACAAGGTTCGGGGGGCCGGCATGGGGGTCCCAAACACCCCCCAAGCTCCCCAGGCCGGGCGCTGACTCCCCCCGGCCCCTCTCCCCAGCTCATCTCGCCCTTTGAGGTCGTTCGTTACGACGTCGCTGCCGGAGCCCCGGAACGGGACAAGGCCGGACGCTGCATCCGTGCCCGGACGGGTGAGGAGCGGGCCCGGAGCGGGCCCGGGGCGGGCTCGGGGCGGCCCCGTCACCGCTCCCGTCCCCGCAGGTGAGACGGGGCTGCTGATCGCCCCGGTGACCCCCCGGACCCCGTTCCTGGGCTACGCCGGCAGCCGGGAGCTCTCGGAGCTGAAGCTGCTCCGCGGGGTCTTCGCCGAGGGGGACGAGTTCTTCAACACCGGGGACCTGGTGGAGCAGGACGAGGAACAGTTCGTGCGGTTCCGGGACCGCATCGGGGACACCTTCAGGTACCGGAGCCCAGCCCCAAACCCCCCGAGCCCCCTCCCTGCCCGGCCAGGGGGGCTGAGCCCCATTAAATGTTCTGGGGTCGTCTCAGCCCCACTGAATATCGGGGGAGGTGTCTCATCCCCGTCCCGCTGCTCCCCGTCCCCTCCCAGGTGGAAGGGCGAGAACGTGGCCACCACGGAAGTGGCCGAGGCGCTGCTGGCCCACGAGTCCCTGCAGGAAGCCACCGTTTACGGCGTCACCGTCCCAGGTACCGCCGGCACCGGAGCCGCCCCCCGGGCCCCCCCCGGAGCCCCGCGGTGCCCCCCAAGTGTCGCCTCGTCCCCCAGGCCACGAGGGCCGCGCCGGGATGGCCGCGCTGGTTCTGCGTCCCGGCCGCTCCCTGGACGGGCCCGGCCTCTACCGGCACCTGGAGCGGCTCCTGCCGCCCTACGCGCGGCCCCGCTTCCTCCGGCTGCAGGTAACGGGGGTAACGGGGGTCCCGGGGGGTCCCGGGGGGTCCCGGGGGATGCGGGGGGTCCCCAAGGCCGGCGCTGTCCGCAGGAGCGGCTGGAGATGACCGAGACGTTCAAGCAGCAGAAGGTGCGGCTGGCTCGGGACGGCTGCGACCCCGCGCTGGTGCCGGAGCCGCTGCTGGTGCTGGACGAGACCGCCCGAGCCTTTGTCCCGCTGGACCCCGAGCGCTGGCAGCGGCTCCGGGACGGGCGGTTCCGCATCTGAGCCCCGGCAGCGGCGGCCGCCCCGGGGGTCCCGGGTCCGGTCCGGGGGTCCCGGGTCCGTCCCGGGTCCGGTCCGGGGGTCCCGGGTCCGTCCCGAGGATCCCCCTGCCCATCCTGTGCCCCCTGTGAACCCCAGGTTTGTCCCGGAGGTGCCCAGGGGTGTCCTGGGGGGGTCCCCCGTGTCCGTCCTGCCGTCCCTGAGCACCCCGTGTCTGTCCCGGGGCTCCCAAAATCCGTCCCAGGGGTCCCAAAATCCGTCCCAGGGATCCCAAAATCCGTCCCGGGGGTCCCTTGTCCATCCTGTCTTCCCATGTCCCCAACTCCCGGCTCCCCACGTCCATCCCTGTCCCCCCCTGACCCCGGGTCCCCTCTCGGGGGTCCCTGTCCCCTCCCCTGTCCCCTCCCCGTCCTCCCCCACCGCCGGTGCCTCCCCCCCGCCTCGGGGGCTCTTTGTACACAAAAAAATCCCCATTTTGGGGTGTTTTTTTTTGGCAAATAAAACACTTTTTGTAGCAAATCTGGTCCCTGTCACCCCCCAGTCGGGGACGCGGGCACCGAAGCCGCTGTCCCCCCGTCCTGGAGGTTTTTGGGGGGGAATTGAAGGGGAAAAGGGAGGACACCTGGATTTGAGGGTCCCCCCCCCCGATTTTCCACCCCAGGAGAATATTCCTCTCTCAAATAATTATTACAAAAAGGGCCGAAGTTTTAATTCATTTTATTTTTAAGCCTTTCTCCAAAAATTGGGGGATCCTCACCCCCCCTCCCCCAACTTTGCCATCGGCCCCGAGCTCAAACCCGATGGGAAAGAGGGGAAAAAATGGGGAAAACCCCTTAAATTTGTGCAAAAAGCCCCATTTCCACCCGCCCCCACCCCAAGCCAGAAACTGGGCCTAAAATCCTGCAAATTTGGGCTGAAAACGTCCAAGTTTGGACCAAACCCCACAGATTGGGGGCCAAAATCCCCGAAATTTGGCCTGGAAAGAGAGAAAAGGGAATTCAAATCCTGCAGAAACCCTGGAAATGGGGATTAAATTCACTGATTTGGGGCTGAATCCAGAAACTGGGGGTAAAGTCCTGCAAGCTGGGGCTGAAATCCCACAAATTGGTACCGAAATCCTCCAAGTCTGGCCTGAATCCAGAACCCGGGGACTGAAATCCTGCGGATTTGGGATCAGAATTTCGGGATCAAAACACGGAAACTGAGCCTAAAACCTTGGGAACCAGGACCAAAATCTCACCGTTTTGGCCTGAAATTTGGGCTAAAATATTTTTTTTTTTCTCTGAAAGCCAAGCTGGGCTGAAACCCTGGAAATTTCCCCCAAATCCCCGAATTTGGCCGGGAAATAATAAAAAAAAAACCCCCTTGGGTGTCAAATCCTGAAAAGCGCGAGCGGAGCCCGAGGGTTGGGGCTGAAGTGCTGGAATTTGGGGCCGAACCCCCCCAGTTCCCAGGATCCAACCCCCAGCCCGAAGTCGCGGGGGTTGCGGGGAGAGGAAGAGGCGCAGCCGGGCTTGTTGGAGCCGTGTATTGTCGGGAAGCCAATCCAGAATAAAAACAGTGCAAATACAGGAACAGGGATCTCGGCCCCCGCGGGGGTCCCGGCGCCGCCCCGTGTGAAAGGCACAGAATTTCGGGAGTGGGGCCGGGGGTCCTGAGCCCGGAGCCCCCCCGGCCCCCCCTCCTTGCACGGTTCATGTCACACACACCAGGTCACACGACACGGACGTGACACTTCCACAACACCCAGGCGGGTCCTTCCCGGCGCCTTCCCGGGAAATTTTTGCCGTTTTTTCCATTATTTTTGTTTGGTTTTTTTTTTTTGTTATTTTTTTCTTTTTTACTTCATTGTTTTTTCCTTTTTTTCATTTTTTCCTTTTTTTTTTCCTTTTTTTTTTATTATTTTCCTTTTTTTTTATTATCTCCTTTTTTTAAATTTTCCTCTTTTTTTTCTCCTTTTTTCTTTTTCCTCCTTTTTTATTTTCCTCCTTTCTTTTTCTTCCTCCATTTTTTTCCTCTTTTTTTTTCCTCTTTTTCCTCCTTTCTTTTTCCTCCTTTTTTTCCTCCTTTCTTTTTCCTCCTTTCTTTTTCCTCCTTTATTTTATTCTCTTTTTTTTGTCCTCCTTTATTTCCCTACACAACGTTCATCTTCGTTCCTTTTGGTTTTTTCCTTGCTTTCGTCTTTTTTTTTTTGTTTGTTTTGTTTTTTGCAGATTTTTTTTTTTTTGGTCTTTTTTAACCTTTTTTTGTCTTTTTTTTTGTTGTTTTTTTTTTTTTCTCCTTTTTAATGTGTCAAGAAACAGCTCAAGTTTTATATACACGGATGAGTCCTGGTTATATCGGCAGCGAGAGCGGAAGCGAACGGGGCGGGATCGGGAATTGGGGCGGGAATTCAGGATGGGAATGGGATTTGCCTTTGGAGGAACCAAAAAAACCCCCCCTCCCCCGAAACAAACCCCAAAAATGCGTTTTCACAAGCGGATCTAGCCCTAGCCGAACAAAAGCGGGAAAAATCCTCCAAGTTTGGAGCTGGGGGGGGCGGGGGGAGTAAAAAACGGGAATTTTCTGGGATATCACAGCCCTGGGGGCGAGGGGGGCAAGCCAAAAATAATAATAATTATAATAATAATAATAATAAAAATAGGGATAAACCTATGCTGGGAGGGGGGAGGGGCAGCCGCGGATCCAAATCCCCCCCTGGAATTCCGGGATTGGGGAGGGGGAAGGGGGGGAGGAACTGCCGGGGACCCCGGGGGGGGGGGGGGGGGGGGGGT